TAGAGGGAGAAAGGAAGAGGTAAGGCCATTGGGAAGGGAAACAGTTAACATGAAATCGTTGCTAAATAAATGAAACGAATGGGACGATATCTTCCGAAAGAACTCCAACGTACCTTAGTGCAGAAAAATAGCCATTCTGTTCGATAATCAGTTCTCTATGGCCATGGACGTTGATTCCTCCCCATACCATAGCTAGCTTTAAAAAGCTGTGTCACACTAAGCAAAGTGTTCTCCACAGATGGTCGCGGTCATCTGATTGCGAAAAACCAAATCGCCACTAATCTGTGAATAATAGCACCCTCCCCCAGAGATGTAGATATATCGGTCGGGGTGTAATATACAGCACCCTTTAAGATCTATTGTATCCCCCGTTCTGTGCCTAAAGCACACCGGTGAGTCCTATTTCATCAAGGAACTTGATCAGTAGGACCGGTTTCAGTGGTTTAATCTACAGTCACATTGTACATCCCAAAGCACTTCCTCCTGCAGGCAGGTGAAGCACCACAGTTTGTTAATAGGTGTGTTGGTGTCTCCTCTACCTCTTTGCAGAATCTGCATGTGCCGTCTTGGATTATACCAATCTTCTTTAGATGTTCATTTAGCTTGCAGTGTCCTGTTGAGAATCCTGTTAGAATTCGAAGTTTTTTTCTTGTTTCCTTTAACGCATTTGGTTGTTTCTTTCATTCAAACCTACCTAGAAGGTTTTGGATTGTTTAGGTTGTTTATGTTGTTTATGTCATTAAGTTACTTGCCTTTCTACTCGATGCCTTTCCAGCAGCAAAACCTGATGGGGGTTGTCTTGAGATTAGACTATTCTCAGGAAGGCTTCTGATGACTGTTCTTCAGAACGCCCTTACATTACGGAACTTTTGTGGGTTGACAGACTACCCATCAAGGAAGCCGTTAAATGACGGTTTGGTAGTGCAGTATGAACAATAAAACATTCGTCCCTAGCCATCGTACATCGAGGTCGATCATCACCTTTTCTTAGCTAAAGACATCCGGTGGTCTTAAAACCCTGCAGAGCAACGTTGATGGTTGAGCGTGGCACACCCAGTTCGACTATGTAACAGACTCTAGGTCCCACATGGGCAAAGCATCTGCCCTTGCGAGATCTCGACTTAAAACCAAGCTCTTAAATTATTATTAATTTTTGACTCAAATTTATTGTTTTATAAAAGAAAATGATTACTTTTAATTTTAACTGTTATTTCATTTTCTTAATTAGATTAGAGAAGACAATAGCAAACATTTATTTTGTTTTGTATGCGTGTTCATTACACGCGTACTCATGTCAACTATGTAATAATATTATTGAAATCGTTAAAGATTTAAGAAAAAATATTTTATTAAAGAGATTTGGGAGCTGGCATGAAAAAGTGGCTTTTGGATGAAAGACAAAAGACAAATCAAAAATTAATTTTATTTGCTTTACATTGAATAAATCATGCTGAGGAAAAAATATTTTAAAAAATTAAATTGGGGGACCGCGGTAGCCGAGTGGTTAGCATGAGAGACTCTCACGCCGCGGTCGTGGGTTCGATTCCCACCGTCGCCTCTGGCCCTTTTTTCCCGATAACCCCCTAACCCCCAATTTGAACACACAAGAATTCGTACTATGGCTAATATGCAAGATCATAAGGCCAATAAATAAATAAAAAATTAAATGATAATGTAATGAACAAAATAATGCAAAATGAACAACATGCTCTCAGTAAGTTTAACATGTGTTTGAGAGCAAGAGTTGTGAGCTCTTTAAATAGTCTTATACATTACAAAAATGAACAAAAAACAGATTTATATAAGTTATTAGTAGCAGTATATACTCAATTTATCTTGCTATTCACATTTTATGTAATTTTGAAATAATTAAATAATTCATTTTTAATTATATATGTTTGAAAAAAGATTTAAATGGTTCATAAGGGGAAAAGAAATTTATATCAAATTTGTTTTGATATATGATTCTTAATCCTACATTACATGCAATGTTATAATGCATGGAAGTGTTTACTTTAAGAACAGTACATTTTAATAACGCATTTATTCTTGTAGTGTAATTTAAGTCCATAATGGTTAAAATTTTATGCTTATATATACGAAGACATGAATACATCAAAAATAATTGTTTGACATTTAACACATTAAAACCAATGTGGAGTTGTTTTGTGTTATACCTTCTATGTTTATTTAGCAATATTTTTGTTATAGAATTTTGAGCAATAATTAATAGAAAAAATGTAGATTTTGTGGTACCACCCCAAACTCTGACACCATATGTTATCAAGTTTGCGCTAATGCAAAATACACAGACGTCATTTTATCTGGCTGAAGAATATTTCTGAAACTTTTAGATTTATAAAATAATTTTCTAAACTTTTAAAAATGGCAGTTGATCCGAATTTGACCGATTGCCGCTTTTAAATTCATAGTGGGAAACCTTGTAATTAATAAACAACACACAATTGTTGCTGAGTTTTGCTTAGCTGCTGTAGTTAGGTTAGTGCCAGATAATTGCACCTTCCCACGAAATCACCTCGTCGAAAAGCGAGCACCTACTTTGTACCTATCAATCTTCTAGGGTCGTTACATAAAAGAAAAAGTCGCCGAAAATAATCATTCGCCCGCATTGTAGTTACGTTTCCCCCTTCACTGTTTACATCGGTAAGTTATACCGGCCGTATGTTTCTGCCCGGAGGCTTTCAAAGTTTTAATGATTTCTCCGCTTGGCGCAACTTCGGGGATGAATATGTAGCACATGTTGTTTTGAGGTACGAATCAAAACTTTTAGTTATTTCTGAAATCAACGGGCGTTGATGGGCGTCGAGAGATGTTACTTATTAAAACCGGCGGATAACATACCCCGACTTCAACATTTCCGATAGACTCTGTTTGCTCAGAAGCCTCAACGGTCTATATCATAACTCTCTGTGTTGAAAAGGATACAAAAACATTATTTACCCTTTAAAAATACAATATAAATAGATAGAATTTTAATTATTTTTATTTACAGTATCCTAAATCATTCCTAACCACCGGTATATTTCGATATGATGTTCCGTCCATGAATTTTTCCTTTAAGAAATTATATCAGTGATTAATTACAATTAATTAAGGTTTTTAGTTGAGATAAAAAAGTCAATGGCATGAGCGAGATTCGAACCCACGATCTTCGGCTTGATACGCCACTGCTCTACCACTTGAGCTAACGTGACCTCGATCCCCTCGGGCACTAACTTCCCATCTCAACCCCACCTTTTTAATTTTCCCTCCTTTTTGCCATTTTTCAAATGTCGTGTAATCGGATTGGATTCTCGACGACAAATGAAATGGCCTCGGAGAGCTTTAGTGAAGTATACTTCATTTTAAATCATTAAATTCACTAATTTCGTGGTCCGCTTGACCAATTAATTGTAATATATTAATTGGTCAAGCCGACCACGAAATTAGTGAATTCAGTGATTAATGTTAAACCGACATAAATTTTTTAACTATATGAGACAAATGAAGCTAAAAATTGAGGTCATCGTCGATCCTCTTCGTGTTTTCCTTCTCTTTCTGGACTTCCACACATATTTTCAGCCTGCACACATTTGAGCGTCTAAAGAACTGTACTAGCAATAAATGGAACTTATATTCGAGTATATCTTTAATGAAAAACATTCCTTTTAGAAACAGACCACACCAACACAATAGTAATAACAATGTGGGAAGTAACAGCTGTCATCGTCTACCTTATGCGTATTTTCTTTATTTCTCTGGTCTTTCACGCGTATTTAGTTTTACACTGCAGCCATTTGAACGTCTCGATCTTTGTTTTTTTTATTTAAACTACTTCGATAACCTAAATTGCTCGTTCGCACCTCAGGTTATCAACTACAGAACAAAACATTAAATATACAGAATGACTGGCGATAAGTGTCGAAAATTTCAAGAGGTGGTTCTACTCACCATACGAAACAAAAAAACATCCTATAATCCCTTGTCCATATCTCAACGGTAAAGAAGTAATTTTAGGTTTTGGGTTTTTTAATTGTTCGACTTATATCCAATAAATTGCTTATAAACTTGAAAATTACTGACTGTGGAAAAATTTGGTTTGTGCCACCTGAAAGAATGATAAATTTGCTGTAAGGAAACCTATTTACTTTGCAGCATTGATGACAAACTTCTGCACGAAAAATTCAGAAAAAACAAAAATGTTGAAATTAGGAAGTTTTTTAAATGTTGGATTGGTAATTGTAAACTCCTGGAGCTTTGCCAATTCCCTCGAATGTTTTCCATTCAATTAGCTTCCAGCGGTATACCCACCTTTTTGGATTGCGTTTCTGGAAGGCCCAAAAAATTTGAATTTTATTGAAAAAACTGGTGATGATGAACGGGGCACTCAATTTTTCCAGGAAATCCGTCAATCTCCTGAGTTTTGTGTCAGTTCTTTAATGTTCAAATCAAACAGTTTGCCTTATGTTATCAGCTGACAACTTCCTCAGGTTGGTGATTTAAATTATGTCCTTGTTTCCTAATGCACATCTTGCTGACATGCATTTCATTTACGGTTACTACAATGGTAATACTACTGCTGCAAGGGGAGAATAGTATTCTCAGAATATCAAGCTCGTTTTCCGTTCGTATACGTATATATATAACCTCAAGCGTAGAAATTTGGTGACATTACCCGCCCCCCTCCGGGAGTACTCGATATTCCTCAAGGCGGGATCGAACCCACTTCATTCTCGCTAATAACTTACTTTTACTCTCCAGACGTCACACACTCACCCCAGAGCACTTGATATTCCTCGGGGGAGGGTTTTAAACCCATTCCCGTCATGCTTATCAATTACCTGCATTCCAGTAAATTGTCGACTCTAATCTCGTCTTTTTTATTATAATTTTGAAAAACTTACAATTTTTATTAGATTTTGATAAATAAGTAGAATAAAACATTTGCATAAGACTTTCTACATATGAATACCATATTAAAATTTGTTATTTGCGTTCAGGTAGACGAGCGAGAAACCTCGACGGGAACTCCTTAGGATCATCAATAGAAGAATTTAATAACGGTAAGTGGTTGTGGTTTTTATTTTAATTATATTTTACTTGTAAAGTTATGTAATGTACTCAAGTATGTCTTTTTATTAAAAATAATCTTAGTCGTAACAAAAGTAAAAATAATCAGTAGAAATTAGTTATTAATTTTATGTAGTTTGGTCTGTCTGATCATTTTGATCTGCCTAGCCTCGCTGGTTCGGTATCGCAAAAGATTTTCGGCATTTTGCTTACATGTAATGAATATTAGGATGTTACAAACGTTTTGTAAAATAATTTTATTATGAAATAGTTGGAACATTCCAATGTTAGTCTGGCAAATCTGGCTGTATGCCATAAATCTTTACAGATTGTATCTGTTAAGATATAATAAAAGCGTTTTGTTTTGTATTGGCAAGAATTCCTTCCTAACGCCAGTGAAGTCATTTTTCCGGATTATAAATTAAACAACAAACCTCTTCCCGCCTTCGTCGGTTTTTGTATCCTTTGGTGCAGGTCACCCACCCCAAACATTCCTCCACCATAGAACCTTCGTGAACGTCATCCAAGCAAGACTCCTTCGCATTCAGGTATGGTCGGATTCGTTGGACGAGTGGCTTAAAAGCTGCGCTCTCTAAACATACGAGAGAAAACTTAGAAGAGTGAATACCTCAGCGCTGTGAGGGAAAGGTTGAGAAGCATTCCCTAGAGCTGATTGATCACATGTACCCTAGCGTCTTCTTAGTACGCGTAGATATATATCCTCTTGCCCCAACTACTACATCCACTGCTTTAAAGAAATTTTTGTATTCGTCAAAACCCCTCATTTTTGAGCTTTGAGGCCAGCTACTCGAGCCAATGCGCCCGCAGTCTCATGCCGCCGCAAGGTCTAGGACAAATGCTCCAACACCTAGCTGGTGGTATTTTTTTTTTTTTTTTTTTTTTTTTTACGAGGGTTTGCAACAGCAGAGGTCATATAAACCCTCAGGGTGCCGGTGTTTTTGAAAAAAAGCCCATTTGTAAGTAAGTCGGGTTCGAATGCAGGGCCGCTGGATTCGATTCGAACCCGGGACCTTTACCTTACAGAGATGAGCGCCGTGTCAATGACTAAACCTTGCGGCCACCGACGCCCCTTTTGCTGGTGGTATTGTTAGGACAGTTAATAATTCCTTCCTAAAGGCCAGTGAAGTTGGCTCATGGTGGAACAAATATGTCCGATATAAATATTTGTCCATGGCCTTTTTAACAATAATGTTCATAATATTGATTTAATAATAATAATAATATCATACCTCAATTTTTAACTTCTCATCGTTCCACACCCGCAGTAAAACAGTATCTATCATCAATCGTCTCCCTCTCCGTACAGTACATATAAAGCCAGTTTGAAGAGGAATTTGAGAAAAATGTGTACAACAACGGTCAATTATAGGTCAAGTATATGTATTCGTGGTATATCTAAATATATACCGGATGTACAAATTGATTGTTGTTGTGTATATACAAATGTACATATATTAGTCGGTGTGTGCATTATACCGGTGAGTCGTACTTCATCAAGACCCAGTTGCTATTGCCATCGGAGTTTCCTAGGAAACACTGCGAGACTCCGTAAGACGTTTTCGAGAAACTAGGTCTTACCACAGAAGGCCCGGTTCTGGTCGTTCGAGGGTAACAGAACCACAGGATCACCGTTTTTTGATTTTGCGAATTCATCAACTCCAGGAAGTTTGAGAACACACTGCTCGAAGAAGATTAAATCAGTATGGACTGATGGCTTCTCGCCCCGTAAGAGGACCAAAATTGACCAAAACACACAGAGTTGCACGACTCGCATCTGCTCGAGAACACAGCCATTGGTCTTTGGATGAATGGTCTGCCGTACTTTTTACAGATGAGTGTAGATTTGCTCTAAGATCTCCAGATGGGCTTGAAAGAGTGTGGAGAAAGCTCAATGAAAGAATTTTTCAAGAAGCTCAATACGAAGAAATTTTCAACGTAGCTCAGTGATGGTGTGGGCGGGAATTTCATCGAGAGTCGCACAGCGTTGGTTGTTGATCGTAGAAAGTCTTTGACGGCCACTCGCTATGTGGATGAAATTTTGGAACATCATGCGTTGCCTATCATCGATAAAATCAGCGACCATCCTATTCTAATGCACGATAATGCCCGTCCACATGTCGCTCGCATAGTACAGACGTACCTTCTACTGCATAACATCAGGGTTTTAGCTTGACCAGCCCGTTCTCCAAACTAGAACCCTATCGACCATTTATGGGATAACCACAAAAGCCCAATGAAAGCACGTCCTGCAGTTCCTGATACACTCCACGATCTTGAAATGACTCTACGTGAAAAATGGGCTAACCTCCAGCAAAAAGACATTTCCAGACTGGAATATCTATTATGTATAATAGAGTATGCCGAGGCGTCTTCGAGATGTAATTAAGGCAAGAGGAATAAATACGCGATATTGAAATGTTAATTAAAAATTATACTCAATTATAAAACGTTAAAAATCGTAAAACTTTGATTAATGTATAAAAATATATACAAATCAAGTTATACTACAAGTGGGTGGAATTTTTTGCCTGTCCGTGTATGTATGACTAATTAATAATCTTATTTACAATTGCTTTTATTTACTCGTCAAATCCTAAATGTTATTTTTGTAATCAACCATTTGTACCAATCTAAATTATATTCTAGGTTGTTATTTTTATTATTGCCAATGTTTAATATGTCAATGTTTTTGACGTTTTAAATGTTCTTCGTCTTGCTTGTAATTATTATAATAAAATGAGCTATAAATACTGAAAAGCACTAAAGACCATAAACATAAGAGCTTTGTTTTCTCACGTAATCACTTAAAGTTTAAGCACGTTCAATTCAATCGGATAGCGGTCGCAGAAACAACAGAATCTGTTAGAAAGGGCATGCACGGACGTGGCGAGTAAATGATTCACAAGCCTTCTTGCGTGATGCCCCGTTCGTCGGTTGAAATTTTAATAGGAAGCCTGTGGGAATGGCTCGTTTACATGAATTAGGGAGGACAGAGTGAGTTATCCCCCGTAGAGTTAGAGCCGCTACGATAATTGGCCACTTAAATGCCCCTAGGCCGACCGTCCAGTCCTCACCGCTTTTCAGATTCGGCTCCTCTGATTTCCTGGACAAGGCCAAATTGGGAGACACACAATTGTCCGTCCGTACGTCAGTTCAAACGAACGGGCTTCACACAATTTGTTTTCTTATCCACCGAGTCCGCACCTTTCTCTACTTACTTAATTCGGTTCTTCAAAGAACAAGATGCTTAAAAATTATTTGTTTACCACTTTTTTAGTTGTAGTGCGGTAGGAATTTTTAATTTTATAAAAAGTTAATAAATCACGATGCAAAAACAATCCATTATCACTCCTTCAAAAAGTTAAGATTGTTTTTTAAAGAAGAAGAAATATTTGTTTCAACAATTGTTTTTACAAATATAAATAAAGGTGATCGACCAGCTGTTATTCAACAATATTTTTGGTAGGATCGAAGAAGTGGTCCAATGAATGTTCCGGTGTTGAAACTACGCCAAGTTTTCGATGTTTTATTTCACCTTCTTCAGGGCTCTAAAACGGATACATATGCATATAAAATTTTATAATTGCTCATCTCTGTAAGAGAAAATCAAAAATCAACTTGTCTTGACAACTTACAAATTCCCTGACAGTGATTAAAATTGTTTTCTCTTATCGACATGTAAAGATAATTTTTTCTCTCTTTTTGTCTATAAGTTGTAAACACAAATTGATTTTTGATTTTCATTGCACAGATGAGGAATTATGAAATATTATATGTATACTATCCGTTGTAGAGCCCTGATGAAGGTTAAATAAAACACCGAAAGCTTGGCGTGGTTTCAACTCACAACATTCATTGGACCACATTCCCGATCCTACCAAATATATTTTACAAATATAGTTCATGTTATTTTAAACAAAAGAAATATGTACGTGCAGTGATGGACAAAATACACCAACCACCCTTAAATTTTAATGTATTTAGGATTATTCATATTTTGAATACCAAAACTAGGACTCAGCCACCCCACCATAAATGAATCATTAGGTTTCCGTTGTTTGCCATACATTGGTGAATTATCAGAAAAAGTTAGTGAAATTTTTAAACAAGAAGGTTTTAGAATAGCTTTAAGAAGTACGGGTTCACTTAAAAAGAAAATCTTACTCTGAGTGGGAACTATCTTTTTAAAAAGGATTGAACACCGCACTCACTCCACCATTCATCATTTCTAAAACTAGGTTTGTTTGTAAAAATAAGGCATTTTAAAAAAATGTTTATTACCTAGTTCTAAAAAACAGTTATTTAGTAAAGAATAAAAAAACCAAAGCAAATAAAAAGGTTAAAAAAATGTTTGATCCCTTCAATACCTCCGGCACGAATCACGTCCGTTGAACGCTTTGCATTCTTCGGAAAAGATTTCTGGTGAAATCCTGAGGAATTCTTTCCCATTCATCTAGAATAGCAGTTTCCGACTGTTCTGGGATGTTAGAACCTGGGTTTCGCCTTCAGACTCGTCGCTTAAGTTGGTCCAAAATGTGTTCGATTGGGTTCAAATCTGAACATCGAGCTGGCCACACCAAGCACTCAATTCCAACCCCGTTCAGGTAGTCATCCACATACTCGGGGTCTGTAGGGTCTGACATTATTCTGCATTAGCAAGAATCTGTCACGGATGTGGAAGGCAAATGGCACTACATGTCCTTCGATTTTGTCTTGCAAGTACCTCTGTGAAGTTTGATATCTTCCTCTCAGAACCACCAATTCGGTACGAGCATGTAAGAAAATGCCACCCCCAGAACATCAATGACCCACCGTCATTCCTGCCATATGCGGAAACATACCGCATGCGTACCCTTTTCTTGAGTGCTCCATATGAATTTACGGCCATCTGAAGATTTTAGGTCAATTCTTTCCTCATCTGCAAAGAGAACTCGTTCCCAATCTTTCAATGTCCAATTTACAAGTTCCCGTT